ACAATCAGATAGGAACCGAGAACTGGGGAGTCAAAGCACAAGGATGATGTTGCAATGGATGAAATTTTGTTGGGCCAGTGGTCATAGTTTATATATGTGATCAATTAGCGCAAGGAGCAAAGTAGATGGAATGGACGTGAGTGATTGTCGGAATTACCAATGGCGGGATCCCTATTTCAATTGCAAGGAGTAATTTGAAGATCAACAGGCGAGAGTTGAGAGAAGTTGGTCATGTGTAAGGAAGTCATTTTGTTAGGCGGATGTTTTGAAATGTAGAGCGATGATGAAAGGAGTGAGGATTGGCATACGCGGTGTTGAAAGTGAAAGAAAATTATGAAGTGGGTTTGAAGATGATACGTTGAATGTACCGGCCACAAATGGAAAGTATAGATAGTTGTTGCGAGTAACGACTGATGACAACCATTGGGGGTTGACCAAGAGGGGAAGCGGGCAGATAACGGCTGCTAACCAAACACAGAAGTTCCCAGCAATCAGTTCCAGAGGATCGACTTAATCAAATGTCAAGGATGATAACGTACTGGTGAAAGATTTGAAAGATCTTCTTGGTCCAGCTTGCTTGAAAGGCAAAAAACTCAGAATGCTGACAAAGGAAACGAATGAAGGTCGCAGTGTCACATGTAGTCGTAATTGAGGTGGATGATGGCGGCTAAAAGTCCAGTAGGTGAAAGCGTTGGTGGATGGTCCATGTAAGTTATATTGAATCGGGTGGGGTCCTGATGGGATGACAGAGGAAACAAATGAAGGTCTCAGTGTCACATGTCATCAGAAATCAGATGGACGACAGCGGCTAAAAATCCAGCAGGTGAAAGCGTTCGTGGATGATCCGTGAGGGTTATATTGAATTGGGTGGGGTCCTGATGGGATTGGGGTGAATCGGGTGGATTGAAGAATCGAGTGTTGGTAGGTGAGTGAATGGTGAAGGTGAATATTGAAGGGGACAGAAAATCGGAGTGGAACGCGTGAACAGTGGATTAATTGTATTAACACTACAAGAAATATAATGTTTTCTGGGCAGAAAATTAAATTATTGATACACAAAAATATTGAGAGGCCAGGAGAAGGGCAACAAATAAATAAAAATATGCATCTTGTTCCCTGCGGTGAGAGCTTCACTCTCCATATTTTTCCGTATTTTTACAGTCCATATTGATAAGTGTACTAACAATAAACCTTCACAATCATCCAATTACAACCTGTAACAAGCACTGAAATTTGGCTCATTAGTGTTTAGAGACACTTTTGATTTCTGAAAATACTCATAACTTTTTCAATTCCGGTCCAAAACGCTCGATTTTGGGTGCATTGGTAAGCTGGAATTGTCCTCCACATAGTTCATAAGAGGACCACACAGCATGCTGGTCTGCTAAAAAAGATATCATCTTTTTTATACATTTGTACATACAGATCCATAGAATGATTGTCATACTAGCTACATAGTTCTTAATCTTATGAAAGTTCGAGGGGAAGAGTTCAGCTTTCTAATGCACTTAAAATCGAGTGTTTTGATGCAGATTTGACAAAGTTATAGGTGTTTTCAGGTATCAAAAGTTTCTCTAAACACTAATGAGCCAAATTTCAGTGCTTGTTACAGGTTGTAATTGGATGATTGTGAAGGTTTATTGTTAGTACACTTATCAATACAGACTGTAAAAATATGGAAAAATATGGAGAGTGAAGCTCTCACCGCAGGGAACAAGATGCATGTTTTTATTTATTTTTTGCCCTTCTCCTGGCCTCACAATATTTTTGTGTATCAATAATTTAATTTTCTGCCTAGAAAATATTATATTTTGTGTAGTGTAAGCGTGTAAACCGGGAATTTGATAGTAGGATTTGGGAGTTTTGTGAGTTTTATCTGGGAACGCGGTTTCCCTTTAACTTTTATGATGCCCAATTCTTGCACAACATCATCATCTTAGTGGACAATCTTCAAAAACTAAAAAGGAGATCCAAAATAGGATATATGACCCAAACACTTTGTTTGTTGCCACAACCAAATCACATTATGATCATCTCCAACCCACCACCTAAACAAAGCCTGTCAACAACAGCATGATAGGTTTGCAAGGATGGTGGCACAAGAGTGAAGCAAAGCTGTTTGGAATGTTCAACAGTTGCTCCACTTGACTCAGCCATTCTAGAAACACTCCATTATCAATTGATCAACACAGTTTTCAAAGCTTTCAGAACATGCAAATCTCGAAGACTGCTCACTTTTCATATCTTGACCTCCACAGAAATATTTGACTGAACTGGAAGATTTGGTAATGATGATAGCAACCCAGATGAACATGTCAGTTTCAAAATGATAAAACACTCTACATAAAGCATCTTGCATATTTTTCACAGGTGTTTATAAATGGAGTAGCCAGGTATGTTTTGAATGTCAAGATTTGATTGATTGTAGTACACATTGGGAAGTGGAACGTGTTGATGTGGGTCATCAGGCAACAATCAAAGATAAATCAAGTAAGATCAGTCAAACTAATGGACCATAAATTATAGAGCTTGATTCTGATAGGGGTTTTTAGAGGGTCTCTCATGAATATGAGAGGATGGTATCACACCTCATCTGCTATAGCATTGAGGATTCAAGGCTGACTCAATCTAACAATGTCCTACCTTCATGCACAAGTTCTGACTCGAGTGTGGGTCCATGTGCTGGTAAGTTTCTGTGATGTCTGGTGGAATTTGAAGACATTCTATCATGCATAAAGTATTGGATTAAAAATAACCCAAGGATGAAATCAAACTATGTATGCATATTGTGATGAACTCATGATGTTCAAGGACTCAATTGAATTTGACAAACCACTCTTGGGGTCTCCAGATACCAATCCCAGCCCAAACTGACCCAAACTGAGTAAACGCCAAAGAGAGGAAGAGAGGGAAATTGACCTGAGGACCAAAGTAATTAGGACTAGGAATTGGTCAATTAGAATTGGCACATCACCCAGCACAGTTGTCATATAATTCAAAGGGTAGGTGGCATAGCCTGTGCCCATTTCTATTGCAACAAGTTGACTCTATTCTTCAATGGTTAGTTTAATATTGGGTGTTTTAGAAGCTGATACAATAACTGAGGCCAGTGCAGGTTTGATAAGCAAGGCAAGGTGCATAACCTGCATAAAGGCAGGCACAAAGACAGGTGACAAGGAGGTCAAAACATCTAAGCCGTAGAGCTTTCCATTCTTGACTCAATGCCAATTAGGATACTGAGTCCCTCTTTGTCATTTTCTTGTGTGTTGACCAGTGTATGTGTCTTGGCAATGGATGAATCCACAACAGTGATAGGATTGCTCTTTGTAGCAAGGACACTAGGATCAGTTTGGTTTGCAATTGATATTGGGATAATTTCTGACTGTTGATGTGGTGAAAGTGTATTGAACCATTGAATATCAGCTGGGGTGGGATTGGTCACATTGGGGATTGGAGGCATAACAAGCGGGGAAGGAATTTGAATACAATGTAAAGATGTTTTGAAGGAAAATAAGACAACTTGGTGTAGTATATAAAGAATTTTGGGAGCTCACCAAGAGCGTTAATTTGCAAAGTGAAGCATATGCAAAAGTACAGCGCTATGTGGCGCCTGGTTGGATAGTACCCAGTGGCCGCTTTTTTGGTGGCTTTACCCGCCAACTTTCTGCAGTATATACCCGCCCCTGTCTCAGCCAAACATAATCACAGCTCGCAGCCAAAGCGGGCTATACATCACCAAACCTCTGGAAAGGTGACATAGATCGACTAAAAAGTTTTCTGTGGGGGTTTTAGAATGGACTAAACTCCTCAGGTTTATTGAAGGTTGCCACATGCTTATATATGGCTGCAAGTAAACTATGTAAGTCTCTTTTCTTCAAGAATCAAATGTCTATCGACAAAACTACCAAAAGTTGTTCTCAACAGATGAGAAGTGGCTTAAGTTCGGGCCAATTGTCAATTAAACTTTCAAGCTCTTCTTTCTCTGGGGGAGTTTGTATCATCATTAATGTTAAAGGCAAACATGGAATTCAGACAAAACCTCCCAAAACCTCCACTTTTTCCCCTAACAACCCCGAGTTTTGTCCAGCCGAAGTTACAACTTTGCGACAATCATTTTCCAATTTCATATTTAGCACTTCCACGTGATCCCGGCAATCTATCCATCAATTGATTCACACAAGTCATCTGATACTCGGCATTCTCAGAATTCAAATCAGAGAGATCAAAAAGGAGAAGGAAACACAAATGATCAACCTAAAAATTGACCACGCTCTAATCGGAGTCAACAATCCCATGTATCACCTGATAGAATCAGTAATAGTCAATATACACCAGATTCACCTCTTACCCAAACAACAACACCCAAAATTTCTAAAATGCATCCTAATATCAATGGCAAGAACGATCAAATGGTAGATGGATAAATGCCGTTAGTTATGGCTCAAGTGAGTCAAAACATTCAAGAACCATTCAATGTTTATTACTTCCTCATGTTGTGAACCCACAAGGATAAACAAGCTGACTGACATATGGGTGTTCTCACCATTTCCAATTTGATGAATGATCTTTCTTTCATCATAGATACCAATTACCTCATCCACACGTTCCATCCGACTGCCTTCATTGACATATTCAATCAGATCTACCCCCAATTGTACGATGTTGAACATTGTTATCATGGACAAGTCAAAAAGCCGATGATATAACGAAACTTCGACTATCTGAAACATTTGAACCAAGTCAAATCTCATTCAAAGCTTTACCATCAGCCGTCACCACATCAGTTAGAGCCTTGATTGGTCAACTTTTGAATTTATCAAAGCTTAGGATTAAAATGATCGAAGAAGTTGTAAGTGAAGTGGTGAAAGGTGTTTGTACAAATCAACTTGATTTGTCCTGGGTCAATGCTCCTGATCAAACTCTTGATACTCCAGCAATTCATAGTTGTAAACAGGTTACAGAGAGTATTGAAGGTCTTCCATCTAATCCTCAAGACCTGTTGAATCAATCTAAGGCACGCCACCTTGGAAGCTTGCGAGCGAGGTTCGTCTTCTTTACCTCTCTTTGACAAACCTTGCATCGCTCTTTTCCCGCGTTACTTTTGTATCTATGCAATTAGGTATCATAGAGTCGTGCTTGTAGGCTCAATTGCACATGAAAAATATGATGGCTGATGAAACAATGTGTTACGAATTGTAACAGATTGGCTTACCAAGATGGAGCGAGGCAATATGACTTGAATTGATACTCTACTCTACTTGACTCAACAGTCTGTTTTCATCATCGACAAAATTAGATGATCAGGAAAGGATCTTAAGAGTAAGTGATTTGAAACCTTTGAAGAAGAAAAAGTCTAAATGTGTTTTGAATGATTTTCTGTTTTTTTTGTTAGACACTTAAAGAACGTTCAGATGAAATCGATTTAGGAATCCAATATTATTTGACCAATTATGTAACTCAAAACGAATCTATAATCTCAAGTGAAGCATTATTCATCTCAAGTTTACCAACTACATCAGATCAAGAACCAGCCCATCAGGTTCAATCTTTATCATTCCAAATCAAATCGATTGATAATCAATCCGATTTCAAAGATTACATGGTCAACTATGCAGCTCATTTTCAATGGATAAGTAGGTCAACGATTGGTTATGTTGCATCACAACTTTCAAGTTTCTTCAATCACAAACTCTATGTTCATCCAAGGTCTGCTCATGGAGAATCTGATAAGAGATATAACTCAAGGATGAAAGGAAACTAAAAATGTCAAAGGTAGAATCGGAAGTAGAATCCAACTGCAAGTAGTTGGATATCAATAGAGTAAAGTTCACTCGATTGATCGAAAACTAGCTTGAAAGCAATACTGACCTCCCTTGAAATTATCTCGTCAGTCTAAGCTCCTCAGATTGGAGTGGATTATTCAAGGCACCTTTATCAGCTACTTCTATTCTCAATCAACACTCGGCAATTGCTTCTCAAACGGATGGTGAAGAAGAATCAAAAATCAAATGGATTGCTATCAAACGCATTGATCTTGGTCTCAAACGCTACCCACATGATATCAAAAAAGAGGCCAAATTCTTGGCATCACTTGATCACCCTAACGTCAGTTCAAACTCCTTGAGCTGGTCATTGAAAGATGGACAAAGCTAATATCTTTTCAATTACAACTTTATAGGTAGTACCTCTGCTGGCTACATCTAATGCATCTTAAACTTTCTCGTTATATCTTCCACTTTATAATCTCACACTCAGTGACTTATTACAAAGCTCAAAACCAAGACTCACACCTGATAGTTTACCAGCTTTCTATTTCCTTTCAAAACAAATCATACATCAACTCAGTTCAGGTTTATCATACTTACATCAAGTAGGAATATCACATCGTGATATAACACCATCAAATGTAGTATTTGATCAAATTGGAACTCCGATTTGGATCAATTTTGGTACAGCTTGGAGTCCATCAATTAATCAAGATACAGAAAAAGATGGATTAGAATTCGAATTAGGTACAATGCCTTATTGTGCACCTGAACTTTTGTTTGGTTCTAGACATTATAATCCTTTAAAGATTGATCTTTGGTCTTTTGGAGTTTTAATTTTGGATTTCTTTAAACCCATTTAAGTTCAATCCCGAATCTACCTAACATTTCACATCATCCAAATTCAAATCTAAATCATTTACAACTGATCAGTCCGACCGATCCGATAAGAAGAGATTATAGGATATAGAAGTGGCGATTAAAATTGGAAGAAGATTGAGTAGAGTCAAATGTTCATAGTCAAGTTAGTATTTTTTTTCTTTCTCACAAAAGCTTATAAAGTTTTGAAAATATATATTATCAATTATTGATCTTTATTTTGAATTTTTTCTTTTGCTCTGAACAAAGTTATCAATATTAACTGAAAAAGTTGAAATTTTAAAAGATAAATCCATGAGAATTGACAATCAAATTAAATTAGAGTTGAATGAGTGTACAGAAAGATGAAAGTCAATTGAAATTTCAGAAAAACACACACGAAAAGTTGAAGGAAAATTGATTTCATTCATAGATCAGGAGAAAGAGCAGGAAGAGATGAAGATGAAGATGAAGAAGGTATATAAGATATATTAGGTTGGTGTTTTGATCAATGGGATGGCTGTTTTGGAAAGCAGGTTTTGTTGAGATCTATTAGTAGAACAATAGATGTTTGAAACAAAAGATTTGAATTACAAATTTCAATCATTGAGATTATTTTGATTAGATTAGGTTTTTCCTTTTCCTTTTTTCTTTGGTTGAATTTCTTGAGATATTGGAGTTCTCCCTTTTTGTTACCAATTTGTTTTTTTACCAAAAACTGGAATCTTTTTTTCTCTGTCTCTGTTATTATCCTTTGAAATGACAAAATGTGTTGTGTTCTTTGGAAATTGGTTTGTTTTGTTTTGCTTTTGATAATTATCATATTTTATTGTTTTACCTTTTTCTTTTTTTCTTCTACACCCTTTTTTTGAAAGGTTTTTTTGTGATGAGATAATGAAAAAATTATCTGTTTAGCATTTTTGATAACTTGATTATTTTGAAAACCTGATGATGCATAATTTGATTGTAATTTTATATACATTATGACCTTGGAGGTCTTGATTTTAAATCAAAATTCTTTCTTTGGATGGGGTTTATGTTTGAGACATACATAAGATAAGATGAGCTCAAGCTAAAGCCCCCTCAGAATAGTGAATACCAAAATTATGGCTTAACAAGGTTTTATCAGCATTCACGTGGTGGGTGTAGCACAAAAAGTGCGCCTTTTAGGTGCACTCAAAAAGTTGAAATATAGGGTGGATGCACCCCAGCACCAGCTTTAAGCTTTTTCCTCTGTTCTTAGACTTTCTTGGACTTTCTTACACACCTTCAATCAGGCCAAAGGACAAGACCAAGATAACATCTGACTGGATTGCATGAGGACCTCTACTAAAGACCTCAAATCCTACACACATCTAAGATATTATGTGTATCAGTCACCATATTCAACAGTTTATCAACAATAGATAGCAATGTAACAGACAGAGACCAACCAAACCCAATCCATTCAGATTTCCCAAACCAATATGAACCATTGAGCTTAATCCAATAGCACAAGGTACTCAAACCCATTTAATCTACAGATATCAATACATCATTCGAATTAAAATGGCTAATTTTTTACCCAAACTTGATGATCCAGATTGTCCTAATAAATTGATCAAGGGATACAACATGGATAAACTTGGTTATGAGTGGGTTCAGAGTTCTTTGTCAGGTGATGCAAGGAGACATAAGGAGGCATTATGAGGATCATGATGAAGGGGTGGCTTGGAGTTGGAGGCTACCTGATGATGTACAAGAGCTTTGCCAATATATGCTCAGGAACATGTTGTGGGTGCTGACTGAATTCAATGCACACATCAATTTCAGGTCAGAAGAACTAGCTTTACCTACTTTTTGTTACTCGAAATTATAGGCTTTGTGTGTCTGATGGGAGGTTTTGGGAAGGATGCAATTTTTGTTGATTTTGCTGGAGAAGCCTTTAGACTTTCTTCACAATTGAGTATCAATGGACAACACAACTTATTTTATCAAAAACTCAGGTCAAGATGTTGGATGTAACAATATAAAGCCACCAAGCAGTCAATTTAATTCCAATCACCATTACCATGAGAGAGGAACTTCTTCATCTTTATTACAGATCATTGTTTTTGAAATGTTTAACTCATTCATGTAGCACTGTAAACCACAGGAAGGAATTAGTTCAAAACCCAATTCAGGAAAGGAGCGGTCTCTGAGTCTGCAAGTTCCTTCAATTTTGGATTTTGTTCACAGGTTACCCTTGAGATGCCCTGTCCATTTGATGTATGTATAAAGCATGTACATATAGCCAATACTTCCTTTCAAAGTATCAGATATCACCAATCTTTTTCATATCTATGGCTCCAGGCTCACTGGCAGAGCTGCCAGACTGGTTGCATTGAAGGAATTCAAGTTGAGCTGTTGCTCAATGTGGTATATTGTGTATGGTATAGATTGAGGGTAACATGTGAACCTATGGTGAAAATTGTGAAAAAGATCCACAATTGAAGGGAGTTGCGGACTTGGACACCTCAACTTCCCTCAATTGGGTTTTGAACTATTTCATTCCCACTATGTTAGATCAAATTGGTATTGATTGTAAACCAGAGGTGTCATTCCTGGTGAAAATACTGTTCCATTGAAGCTATCCAGCCAATCATATCTACTCCTATCATAACATTTTTTCAAAGTATAGCTATCTGTGCATGACAATCAAACACAAAAATTGTGGTGTGGTCCACATTCATTATTTTCAGACATGTGCTGTGTGTCAACTCTTCCACCTTATCATGTAGTCATTTTCAAAGGCTTGATCAGTACCTAACCTTGACTTTTTTCAGTATGACAAGACTTCAGATTGTGTTAGACTTTATCTTTCTGGTGACATCATTTCTAGACACCAATGTGCTTTGCTCAATCCAAGACCCAAAATGTATCCAAAGGTGCTACCCCTTGAGGTCTTGATATCATAAAGATTTTTCTGATAGCACAAGATAAGAATTTCCCCTATAGCTGGGGAGAAAACTAAAATTCACATGCAGAGTCTATTCCATCAACTCCCCATTAATTTCTGGGTGATTTTTACCATCTCCAACAGCGTGATCACTATTCACACTACACCATTGCATTTGTCCTCAACAAATTATTATAGATCTGTATCCACCTGTATCCACATGGGACCCTTTTTCTCTTCCCCCAAGAATTCAGAGCAACGGCTCTTCCAAGTCAGCTGCCATCATTGACAACTCAATTCAGAATCAGAGTCTTATAGCCAATTACATTTCATGCCTCTCTGATTATTGTTGAGCTAAAGCGGTCCATCTTTGAGGAAATCTCAAAGTATGCCACGTGAAACACCATGTTATGTACTTACACAGTAGGCTGTTATAACAACATACATTCACGAAGATCTCAGTGCGGCGCCCGCCGCTCAATCTGGCTAGTTCAAGTTAAAGGCGAACAACAAACACTACAAGAAACATAACATTTTCTGGGCAGAAAATTAAATTATTTGTATACAAAAATCTGGAAAGGTCAGAAACAGAGCAAAAAATGTGAAAAAATATGCATCCTGTTCCTTGGTATGAGATCTCCAATCTGCATATTTTTCCGTATTTTTGGGGTTCATATTGGTGAGTGTACTAACAATAAACCCTCATAATCACCAGATTACCACCTGTAACAGATGCTGGAATTTGGCTGATCAGTGCTGAGAGAAAGTTTTGATTACTATAAAACCCCATAACTTTGTCAATTCTGGCTCAAAACACTCGATTTTGGGTGCATTAGAAAGCTGAATTCCTGAACTACAACTTTCGTATTGACTCAAAATGTGTAATCCCAATGGCTGACATTCTATTCAATGATATGTGAAATTTGATTTCATTGGGGATATCTTTCTTTTCAGGCCCGCCACGTATTTGGTTCATTTATGAACTATCTTCAGGCAAATACCAGCTTTCCAATGCACTCAAAATCGAGTGTTTTGAGCCAGAATTGACGAAGTTATGGGGTTTTGTAGTAATCAAAATTTTCTCTCAGCATTGATCAGCCAAATTCCAGCATCTGTTACAGGTGGTAATCTGGTGATTATGAGGGTTTATTGTTAGTACACTCACCAATATGAACCCCAAAAATACGGAAAAATATGCAGATTGGAGATC